ACATTTATATGTGAACAGCTTCTTTGTGTGTTAAAAATTAATGAATCTAAAAAGAGAACCAGATTGATTAATGAGCCTTTTTGTTTGTACTCTAAAGTTTTGTACTCTAAAAAATAAAACATAAATGTTCGACTCCCGTACGACAAAAATTAACCGAGATAGATTTTAATGAAAAAATAATAGTTTTTATATTTTAATTAATAAATTTTGAGATTATATTCCGCGGTCGCACAAAAATCAAAGAGCTAAATTCTCATATCTGTAAATATCAAAAATTGATATATTGATTTAGAAAAGGGTTTCTGAGCAGCATTCCTATGCATATTGCCGTACTCATCAATATCTATGTATTGATAAATATTTTTTGATATCCTTATTGGCCAAATATCTTATAGAATTCGTGCTGTAGAAGCCAGTGACACTCTTCAGTAATGCCATAAAGTTGTTTTGTAACACTTTGCTTATAAAAACTAAAAGTACTTCCAGTTTGATGAATTCATTATATGTTATGTTTTAAATTAAACAAACAAAATTATACTTTAATGAATGTTGAACATTAATAAATCATAAAAAGATCTCACAAGACAAAATAATGACCTAGAATTAGTCTAATTTTTTTAATACTTTAACAAACACCGAAAAAGATATTAAAATTATCGAAATTTGAAATTAAATACCTAGATCAAATGTTAGCGAACAACAATCAACGTTTTGTTCAACAATCAACGTTTTAAATTAATTAGCTCTATTTCCAGATTTTCTAGGGCGTTACTTACGATGGTTTTCAATGGTAAGAAAATAATGTAAAATTGCACACCATTTGATTAAAATCATAAAAATCTTTCTTCAATTTTTGTTATAATAACTAATGTCAGAACAATGCTAATTAATTTATGGAAAATATATCTGCCGGCAGATAATTTGAGATCAATAAATAAATAAATTAAATCGCCCTGAAATAAAAGAAAAAAGGACCTGTATTTGCTAAGAGCTTCTCTTTCTTTACGTGGCTAATGGTCAAGCGTTTCTGTATCGTACCGTCACTGGGCATGAGAGATAGGTGCACAACGGATTGGAGCGAAATTCCGGGATGACGATGAGATTCGATCGGCATTGCATGAATGACTGAGCATTCATCACGAACAAAAAGAAAAAAGAATCATTTGCTACGATATCTATCTACTTGTCAAGTACTGGAGTAAGACTTACGGTGATGTTTTGTCGCCATTAGACTCCATCAGAAGGTCATTCGAAAAGGCCTAAGAATCACAAAAACTTCAGAGGCAAAATAAGGTATAAGTCGCGACGAAAATTTTGTTTTTATCCTCGTAATATGTCGAGCATATATGCTCTTGCGCAGCGAAGAGGAATTTGGCCACTCACTGCAATCGCGCTTTCCGCCACAAACTTATAATTAACATCTATATTGTAATAATTTCAGTGTTTACAATAAATTTTCAGCAAACAAAATTTCTAGTCATTCACTGAATACCATTATATAAAATTAAATTATTTACAATAATTAAATTATTATTTGAAAATACTGAATGCGTTCCATACAAATTAAATATAGCGTTATTATTAGTAAAACATGTTAAATATATGCCTATAAATTCAGCGAAAGTGGAGTTAAATTGTATTTTCGAGCTGTAAAGCTTGAATAACGGCTAAACGTGTTTCGTTATGAAATTAATTCCATCCAAGTTATTAATAATACTGTAGAATCATTAAGCTGCTTTCGAAGAAAGGACAGATGAAAAATGTGCAGTGCCCTCGCAGAGACTAAACCCTGGACCTCTTGAATACGCGTCGAGTATGTTTCCAGTTACACCACGAATGCATGCGGAAAAGAGGGAGAAAATACCTTCTAATACTAGGTTGAAATATTGTGATTATGAAAAAATAAAGCTACCCAATCATGAAAAATTATAATATATACTTATTTTTCGTTTTTGCAGTAACAAAATAAAAGTTGTCTTTTTCTAACATCATAATGCTATTTTAACTTTCACATTGTCATTCGGAAAACTTTACATTATATATAAGTACTTTACATAATAAACAGAAACATTAGTCTTACAATAAAAGAAAGTGGATACTTACTATGCGTTAACATATTTTCCCAGCACCAGTGTTAGTACGAAACTTCATGTAGATTTCTGTTATTCCAAGAGAAAGGAAAGCAAAGAAGTTCCACAACCAGGATAAACACCTAGATTAGTAAAGTCTAATACCTAAATTAGTAAAGAAAACTATTTTCTTACATAATGACTAGAAGAAATTGCTTGTAAATTCTTGAGGTTAGAGTCAACATTAGAAATACTGTTATGTAAAAGACTGCCTTAATTTGAGTGTACCTTGGATAATTTGACTATTTGGTTCAAAAAAAAGTGAAACAAACCGCTCCGAAGAAATTCTCTTTTTGAGAACTACTGTGAAACTGTTTTAAGTGCACAAATAGCTTTTGTTTGATACTTGGTGATTCTGCCATGAGTGTTAGTACACCTAACTACTCTAGGCTAATATTGCAATACATTAATAAAATTCACAAAAGTTAAAGTTAGCTAAAATAACACATTTTATTTTATTACATTTATTTTATTAGTCTTATTTATCCTTAATAGACTCATAAAAATTAGGTTTTTGTTATTCACTACGACAATAAAATAATTATTTAATGTCCATAAGTCGATGTTCTCGCAGTGTTAACGAAATAAACAAGAATCTGACTACGCCGCTCTTTAAAATCTAAGCATCCAAAAGCAAGAATTTCGTAGTTTAGCAAAATTATGCTTGAAGAATCTGAAAGAATTAATGATAAATTCCTCACGAAATAGTTGGTATTCAGGTATAATATAAAAACCTAAATCAGTCTTTTACATTTAGGTTTCTTCTAGTAACTCACTTGAGTTGTGCTTTTCGTACAGAACTTTAGTGAAAAAGGCTTTCGAGATTTAATTTTCTGTAAATCCTTTCTTAAAACGTATACCGACTTCGTAATTTTGGAGAAAGCTGAACGTAAAACAGCCTTAATATTTTTTATGATGCCTTTTTTATTACAATTCAGGTTAATGCTTCGTTGATTCATGTTTATACATACGTAGTATTTAGTTTGAGAAAATGAACAAACAGTAAACTAAAAAAATCTAAGTAAAAATATTTCTCATAGACACACCTCGTATACTCTCGACAAAAGTATTTTATGGAGTAGAAAATAGCAAATATTTTTATACAGGACATTAAAATACAGTTTTTCACATACGACGATAGACTGCTTTTGTTAGTAAAGAAGAGATAATTAGTTTTTCTCTTTATATACTGTAGTTGAATTTTTCAGGCACAATAAGCAACTATACTTTGCAACAACATTAATATATCAACGAACGTTGTATATTTTTTCTATATGTTTAATGTCATAATGCAAATGATTTCCATGTGTCTCACTTACACGCACTTGATATTTAAAGAACGTGGTTTATGCGTAAAAGTGAAATTCATTGCGTAGCAGCCCAAAGATTTTAATTTTTACTATATATATCACCTATAGTCACACAGATAGGTGCCTAGTGTTAAGCAAATAAATTTGCCTAATGACATTTTTTAGAGTAATCCGAATTTTTCAAACATTAATTTTTTCCTAAGTCGTACTGAAATAAAACCTTCATTCGGCTTGGGTTCTAATGGGAAGAACTCAGCGCTAAGACGTTTAGAATAATTATAGCTTCTCATATTTGTCTTCAAAAACTGATTTTAGTAGTTTTTTTTTTTTTTTTTTTTTTTTTTTTTGTTGTTGTTGTTGTTGTTGTTGGTTAACGAAGCCTTTATATAAAATGTTATAGAATGTTAGAGAGTTTTTATTAGTGTTTGTATAACAAGCAGTTTTTTTTCCCTTTTATGTCACTCATGTATGTAGCACAAGAACTTGCTATAGTAACTAGTTTGCTGACCAAGAAGCGGGACCAATATTTTAAAATCGCTTCTATCCCTTATCATTCACAATGACTAAATATTGATGCGTGAGACTGATTTCTAATTTTTCGTATTTTTTACAGATAAATAGAAGGGTCAAGCATTAAAAAGTGTATTTACATTCATTATGCCAAAGGACCGCTTTAAGACTTTAATGCATTCACTTTTGTGCATTCTTTATAATTTAAATTGCGCTATGTTATTAAAGTATGTAATATCAACATATCCAGAATGATATTAAAAATTTAATTTTCTGTAATAATGGTATATGTTACATAATTTGTTAAGACATCGTTTAAAGAGCAACCCAAAATTATTCAATATTTTTTATCTACCTCAAATAATATAATAACTACCAATAATAGTTTAATAATAATAATTCATCATTTTGTTCCGTTTCCGATCTTATAAAGCTTTTACAAAATATATTTTGATATCACTAATGGATTTATTTTAATTTAAGGAAATTATTTGGACACACGAAAAACTTTGTACATTTAAAAAAATTACCTGATGAATTGGGCATATGCTTAATATAAATTATAAACTAAACTAAAACTTTGCTACAGTAATTAGAAGAACTGCAGTTTTGTCACTTAATATTTTGTAATTTTCTCATTTATATAAACAATTGTTAAAAGAACTTTATTTTGCCCTAAATTTTATTTCTTGTTTTATTTTGTTTTGTGTTGTTTCATATTCGCATAATGACATATTAAAACGTCTGAACACATTTTAATATATTTATACTGGACTGGATATAAAATATATCGTAAGGGTCATATTATACAAAACTGATTTTAGTACATATCAGTAGGATTACTTCTTCAACCTTAACACTGCATTGTCATATTCTAGAGCATTTGTTAAAAAAATAGAAAAATAAAATACGTTCCTTCTGAAACATAAACAATATAAAACACAAAATTATTTTTTATTTATAATAAAACATGTTGTGATACAAATTATTATTAGATTAATGTATTAAGCAGTAAGAGAAACAAAAAGAACCCAAAGAAGAGACACCAGGCTTTAGTATAAAAATTCAACAGTTTATTAGTAAGACAAATTGGAAGACTGTTTCTTACAGGAGAATATCACTCCACTGAATTTTCCATCACAAGGAAATTTAAAAATTTCTTTTTTCTTTTGAGAGAGAGGGCTAGATGATTTCATCCAAACACATACATCATAAAGTATTTTGAAAGTTTTCAGAAGTTACTAGAGCTATAATATTAATGGTTTTAATAAATATGTTAGTAGGAGCTTGGAAAACTACGGAAAACGTTCACCCCAGACTTTCAAAAATCATAAAATGAGAAGAGTGTATTACAAAAAAATGAATATATAATCTAGTCTTATCTAGGTAGAGACGGTAAATAGTATGGAATGTCGCAGTTGTGAATGACACTTCATAAATATGAATCATTAATTTGCAATCTGTAACATATATCGTAATCTCAATGTATAATGCGCAAACATTTTTTGTATTGACTTGTAAATAATTTACCCGCAAACTAATGCATGTCTAAATGGTAAATATTTAATCAACATAGGCAGTTATTATTAACAGCATTTTATAAGCAGCATACAGTGAATTACTGCTTGCTGAACTATATCTGTAATGCTGAACTATATCTGAATATCTGTAATTACCAAAACATAATCTTTTCTTTAATTTCGCATAAAGTGATTCAGTGCATTTTGAGAGACATCACGATCTGCTTTCATCAGGAACAAATTTAGCTGAAAAACTAAAAAAATATTTACTTCCCTTACTTAGTAGTTAGTGAAATAATTCCTTTTTTGCTCGCAGGTGGATTGTGTTATGTGCTTAGAATAATGTTTTTATGTATGTTTACTGACACATGTTATTTCGTAAGGAATTTCTGCAAATTAGTATTGTCGCAGGAAATTCCTATATGTATATGCTAAACTTGCAATATCATTTATCGTTTTAGAGAATAACTTTAACGTAATAAACTTATTTAAAGGTAAATTTCTCCAAATAATGGCAAATATAAGAAAATACATACTGTCGACATCAAAAACACAAATTTACAAAACTGTTGTTTCGAAAATGAGTTTCAAGGCTTGTCATGTGAATTGGATCATGACGCAATTTCCTAAGTAACTACGCAATTTCTTTTCGCTAAGAAATTATATAATCTTTTTGTTTTCGAAAAATATTATTTTTTATTCTTTTCGTACAATGTAAAGCATCATAAAAAATTAGAAAATATATTTCTTTGAAACGCAAATCAAATTTTTATCTAAATGATTTTTAGTGTGTTTGAATATTAAAAACTATCAAAGAACGCACAAACGATAGTTTTGTGCTTTTGGCGTAGTCCCTGCAATACAAAAGCACCTTTGTTTTTGGAATATAGTTTCAGAGTTCAAATTTCGAAGAAATAATAATTTAATGTTTTATAAATTCTTTTTATCGAAAAAATATTTGTTTAAACTTATTTTCAGTTTTATGAATATAAGAAAACCCTTTTTATGTAAGGAAGTTTAACGTTATGGAGAATAGATTAAACTCTCTTGTTATTTTATAAACAAACGAGGAAGAACAGAAAACGAGCACATGAGTTATAGAGAAAATAAAATATTTTTTAATCTCCTACTCAGAAACTCCGTTGCTGAATGAAAAACCGCATTTATCGATTCTTGAAGTACATTTTTGTCTTGAACCTGACGAAGTTTTTTTGCCTATTTCTCTCCTATTTTACAGCTCTCGGTGCTGAAAAGAAGTTTGAAATAGTGAGTAATACACTTTGCGGGTGACAGAGATTTATTCAAATATATTATGTACCCCGAATACTAAAATCGCTGCTCCACAGAACTGGAAACTTTGGTTTTATTGCTGAATAAAAATTCTCAGTGCAGATTTCGAAAGGATTTATAGCTGAGCATTTTCCGTTTATTTATACTCTTACCGTTATTTTGTCTTACTAAGTTTTTACACATCAACTGGTATATTTTTGGGTATTATATGAACTTCCCTTTCATGCATAAAACAGCACAAAAATACCATAAACTTCATTTGACGCTGGGAATTATGGCTTTTAATTAGTGTATTCCAATAAGGAAAAAGTATTTACATGAGGCTTCGCACCAAAATTATTTAAATATTGCTTTAGCATACCAAAAACAAATATGCGCATCTACAGATTTCTATCCAAAATGCACGTGTATTTGTAATTTCTATCAAAAATGCACTTGGGATATAGTGCAAATTAATAGCGAATATTAGGATGTTTTAATAAATGTTTTAGCGTTAGTGAAGGGAGGCTTAAAAAGATTTCAGTATGGTGATAATCGAAATATTCATTATTCTGATTCACAGGAAAATAGCAGCTGTAAATGGAAGATCATATTGGTAAACTAAAATATTAGGATCACAAGAGCAAAACCCTTCATTTTCGAAAACTCCATCCCAGTATTTGCCGCAAGTATCCATGAAGACTGAATTCGAGTGACTCAGACTTTCTTTTTTCTATCATCAGATTCTCGACAGATTTTCTACTAGATTTTGATTGCTCCAATATATCCAAAAGGCACTACAAGTGCAAACGCCCATGCCTTATTCCGGATTGAAATCGATAATCGTTATGCGGATTGCGGTGGCCCACTATGCTGTAAACGTTACACTTAAGAATGTGTATAATGCTCAAAATGAAGGATTCTGCACTCAACTTCCTCCTATATATATTAACGTTACATGATTTCTGAAATGAATATATCGTAATATTATAATTTTATATTACAACAAAATTATTTTAAAATAAAGTGACAAAAAGTTTTCTATTTGAAAAGCAATAAATACAAAAGCACAGTTCACGAATAGCAAATCTTTATTTTATTCTAAAACATAGATTTACTATTCTCAATTTCCGCTAGCAGATACTATTTCAAACAAACATTTTATCTGCATAATTTGGTTGATGAATACTTAGTAAAAAGCAATAATACACGAAGTAGTATTCTTAATGAAATTTTATATAGTAGCAGTATAGTTATTAAATTAAATTTAGCTATGTCTGTAAAATCGTTTTTTTTTAAGATGAAGCAGTTAAAAAGCTTACAAATTTTAAAAAAGCTTTTAAATCTCGCTAAATTAATAATTTTAAGAAATGCTCAATTGAATTTCAAATTTATATAGAGATATAAAAATTAATTACTGATTAGTACAGGATAAAATTTCGTTAGTCTTTATTCTTAATAAAGTTATTTCCAAACTTGTATTAAAAGTAAAAATGAGGAAAACACACCGGCAGTATTTTACCTCAGGAGATTTTCTCAGCAAGGATATTTAATAGTATTCAATAACAAATACTTAAATGTTCACTTTCAATTAGTCTAGATATGTCTTTTTGACCTGGGTTATTTAGTATTAATATTTATCCACAAACAGCGTAATAAATGCTTTTTAATCCATGAATATTTAAAACAAAGCATGATTATATTACGAAAATTAATTTTTTTATGATAATTTCATATATTTACAAGCAAAATGTATCACACATAAACATTGATAAATGCTCTAATTATATCGAGATTCGGACTATTAATATACATGAAAATCAAAATTCGTGCTTCAGCTGCTATGTGCATCGTCGAAAGTATAATTTGTAATGTATGGTTCATATCTTTCAGTGTGGTAATTCCTATGTACAAAATAGGGCTATATAGGCTATAATGATATATTTAAAGTTTTTTATGAGAATGTAACAGATATATCAGATCGACCATATCCGTAAAACTGCATCCACAAAATAGTAACTCTTCTCCATCATAAAAGTTAATCACTTCAAAAAGGAAGATATTCAGCCATTTTGTCGAGTTTTACGTTTCGAGTTTGGAGAAAATTAATTTGATAATTTATAATTATTAATAATTATTGCATTACATTTTTGGAATAATGGTAGATCCGGAAACTTTGACAAGTTAATGCTAAAGTTAAGTTTGGAAAAGAATGCAAAAATATTCCTTTCGTAATTTAAAATTCTGACGTATAAGTGAATAACATTCTTCTAAAAATATTTGTTTAAAGTTTATAATAACCCGAATAAATGAAGTATGGTGCTTTATAAGATGCTGGAATATTAAACTGTGAGAATTAAAAATAACATCGTTAAATATTATCTCTCGTAATATTGCTGATGTGACACTATATAACTTTGACTTCAAATTACATTTTAGGATGGAAAAAATGCATTTGAAGAGTTATTTTATCAACAGAACTATTCTTCCATTAATTTAAACTAAGGAAAATAATTATATCAGTGGTAGTAAAATACACGATATAAATAGTTCATTTAAATTCAGAGCAATTCCAAAAAATCACTAGAATCTAAAATACTGATATTAGCACTTTTTTTAAAGCGATGTTATTGATTATAGTTGTAATTACTAATTAGTCATAACAATTATTAACAAAATAAAAATTTTATAATATGCATACATTTTTAATGGCTAAAATAAATCCAGACATTAAAATTTAAATAAAAACGAATGAAAGTTTTTTAACTGAAATGATAATGAATGATGTTTAAAGTAATGTAAACACATAATTAAAATTAAAAAATGAATAATAAAATTAATCAAAATACCTCTAAAATGTCTATCGTCAGATGCTCAAATACTATATCAATAAAGCCAATTTTATAGTTTAATTATATAATCTTTAATTTACATGCAATATGTTTAAAAAGATTGCACGACTATTGAAATGTTTAGTCGTGGATCAAATTTCTAGTTAAGGAAATGAATCAAATAATGTGTGCGAGAGTTGTAGTGTATGAGATTAATATAACAGTTTCCGGTATTCGAAAACCTTTTTCAAACGATGCGTATTAGTAAAAATAAATTATTTCCACTGGAGAAGGGGTCAAAAGACCATAATCATGTAATAGAGCTACAGGATAGAGGGGGGAAGACCATACTCATACAATAATACTAAAGGAGAAAAAGTTATATTCTTATGATAAAACATACCCAAAATGTTTAGAAAGACCGCATACAAAGATTGCTGAAGACGGTTACGTATGTTAGACTTTCGAAACAAAAATTTTAAAAAGATACTTTACGTAAGAAACACACTAATTTAAAATTTTTACCTAAAATTCCTATTAGTACAAAAGTTAAAATTCAGATTTTTGCATTAAATTAAACATAGTTTTTATGATTCTTCAAATGCCACTTTTTTCCATTTCTGATTTCTTTCAAAGACCTATTTTTCATATATTGCAACGTTTTGTTTTTAATAACAGATGCTTTGTAAGATCAGAAAAATCTTACTTCAACTTTCATAAAAGAAGAAGTGTAAAAGGTTTTATTCGATGAAAGTTGTAAATTATAATAAATAAATTACTAAAAGGTGTTAAATAATAAAACATATCATTGTCTAAATGTCTTTTTCATTTGATTCATTCGTTAGACAGAGACCATTAGTTCATGACGAATAATTACAGAGATATTTAGTAATGGATGCTTTCTTAAACACTCTTCGTGCAACAGTGAAAGCTGTCACGACATATAACAATACTGCTATATGGAAATCATTTCCGAAAGAAATGCAATGTCTATCAAAATTGGTATACTTAATTCCTGTTACATGGGAGTCATTTCAGGAAGAAATATAACATATATCAAAACTAATATACGTGTTTCGAAACATAAAACATAATCTCTGATGAAGGAATGGTTTTGATTAATGGATCTAGGGAGTATGGTATTTAAACGTATCTAAAGAATGTAATGGTTAATTATTGGAGTAAGCAATTTAACGATTGCATCTAAACTGCTAGATAGGTAAAGAGCTGAACTAATATGCCCCTCAGTGAATCAGTATGGAGCTTTTATGATGTGTCGAGCTTGTTTTGTGGTTATTGGCTCGGCATATTGTAACAGTTTATGGATTGAGTTATGTGCTAGTCAATGAGTTGATATAATAAAGAGTGAATACGAGTTGGCATACGAGTGAAAAGAATTCAGCAGTAGCTATATACCAAAACACACAAAGGTTATACTATGACTTGTAAATGCGTAAGAATAAATGACTTACAAAGCTAACACTTAACAAGTTTGAAAACAATATAACTACAAGTAGATGGCATCCACATGTCAAAAACAAAACATCTGAAGTGTCCACAATGAGTCCAAAATGCAGCTTATTTTCTGCAGTCTCTTAGTCAGTCAAATATTTCGTGTAGTCAAATATTCCTTTTCTGAAAAAATTAGTGTTAAGCTAATTTTCGGAAACTTTCCTGCCAAGCACAAGAAATGAAATTGTTGATACCTCGCCAAGTCCAACAAACCAGTTCTAGTCTCCTGTCATACGGGACACCCTGAGTGTCAAGAGGAGTAAACCACCCAGGCGAAGGCACAGAGGTTGAAAAAGGTAAAGCAACAACATCAAACTGCAGAAAAGAGATTGTACACTTTTATGCACATTAAACATTTAATTATTACATATTAATATTCCTCCTTACTATTCTCAGATATCAGATATTTTTTTTATCTTTAGCATCAATGTTGCCAAGATATTTTAATATATACAAGTATTTTACAATATTCACATTTTTTTAGTATAAGATACGTGTTTCATCATATTATTATCTTTACTAGACTTGTCTCATTTTAACACCAATTACAATATTATTCGGAAAGAAATTGCACGATTGAAAAAGTGTGAGTTTACTAGACTGGTGATTTTCCATTTTAAAAGAAATTTTTAACATTAAAAACATTGATGAAATAAAAGTACAAAACTAAATTTGTTATGAAAATAACGTTCACAATAGTCTTTGAAAAACATATATTATTTTTTCAGAAGCTGACCCATACTAGAAGTTGAATTCCTCTTTTTTAAATACTCTTTGAACATTAAGTGAAGTACAATATATGTCAGAATTTAAAATTGACTGGAAAAACGATTGCACAAAAAGTAAATAATTAGATTTGATAATCATAAATTAAACATGCAATACATCTAAATTATGATTTTAAATCATTCAGATGTTCTGAATTCACATATTTGATGTGCTAAACCTAGCAATTATGATTTAATTAAGCATACCGTAATTTTACTTATTTTTGAGCGAAAGTCCGTATTGCTCTGCCCTAATCCCGAAATAAAACTTTGGCATCAAAACCAACATGCAGTGGTTAAAGAAAATAAAAGATAATATTTATAATTTATTATTACTGCATGTATTTATAAATTCCGATAAGGAAAAATTTTCTGAAAGATTCATATTCAAATTTAGGAAAATTAAAATAACTAAAAGCACCTAATAATAAAATCATCGCAAAATGTGTCTGTCATTCAAAGAAAAGGTTTTCATTGCTTAAACGTTATAGAAAGCACATTGCTGAAATATAATTGTAACGAAAAGCTCAGTGAAAAAAAAAGAGGCCATGCGTCAAAATATGTGTTTTAACTTCAAAGTTTTCCACAAGTATTTTGCATTTAAAATATTTTATCTAAATTAGAATCGTCAATTATTCAAGAAAGACTTTTGTTTTTCCCTGACCGAATCGAAATTTTTAGAAGTTGGGAACCGTAAATTTTCTAATCAGAGAAATCGCTCGCGTATTGGCGTGTGCCTCACGTTTCCTATAACAGAATACTAAACAAATTTGCTGTATCTAACAGATAAAAAATAATAATACCAATTTCAACATGATTTTTAAGGTCATTATATTAACATGGTTTAAATTCATAATATGATACAGAAATGAATATTTTCATTAAAAACGAATGAAAATACGTGCAATAGATACTAGAACTTTATCATGAAGTTCATAAAATATAATAAAACAGTATAGAAAGTGTAATACAGCATAGCTGAAATTTAAAAAACAAATTTTGCTATGCTTTCTTAACTGAAAACAGAATACTTGTCAAAGGTAAGTTACCATTAAGAAGTACGTCACTTAATATGGCAAACATCGCATTTCTGTTATAAACACGTGATCATTAATTTTCATCTATTATTTAGCAAAATTACAAGTTTAAATGCGTATAAGAAATTGTTTGCAACACTATAGTATAGATGTTCGCTCTTTTATATAATCTTCTGCGTTTAATATACCTACAAATATTTCGTTCTGTACACAAAGTGGTTATGAATATATATGGAAGATCGATTTTGTATAGTATTTACAGCATTAACAGTACACACAATGTACTGACATTCTTACACTCGCATTTAGACGCTATCTTTTAAATTTTTAAATGTCCTTTCCATATGTAAACAAGTAACTGATTTAGAAACATGACTCAAGGTAATAACCGAAAAACGATCGTTATCATTTGCAGTCAATGGCAATAAATATACAAAAATGAGGTTAATGAAGTGTAAAAGTATCTGGAAGAGATGGTTGTTAAACGTAATGACGCGTCTTAATTCTATCAGTACTTTTTGAATTTTCTTTCCGCCATTTTTATGAGCTTTAACACTGAATTCATTGATTAAAACTTTCGTTTTATGTGCATTTCATTCTCGAGTAACAGTCCAGCAAATAGCCGTCTCCCTCGATTAAAGATAGAATCGCCAGCTCAGAGATAATGTTATCAATACTGCACAATAACTACATAACCAAATCAAACAGATATGGCCATCTATGATACTAGCAGCAGAGACAGCATCAGCTGTTGGTGGAAAAGCTAAATCAGTCAAATTGAACTTGAATTTCTCCTCTTCTTTCGAACTTCCTATACCAGATGCGTACTCATCTTCATCAAGCTCGGATGCAGCAGGTAATTTCTCAACTGACTCGTCGTATTTTTCATTAGTATCTAAATGATTCACGTCAGTACTGCTGTCACCATTGACAGTTGGTCCTGCCGTTGCAATAACTTCCTGCCCGTTATCTAGAAGTTTATCCCAAGGACCTTCAGAAGATACTTGTGACTGGTCACTTACCACTCTAGTCGGATACATAGTGATGTTCTGGATGGTAACTTCCTGAGAAGTGACAATGAATTCCGCCTCAGACTGTTTGTATCCTTCCGCTCTTGCCTGAAAAAATTATTAAAAAAAATATTAAGAATGAAATTTTGATAACTAATTAGAATATTAATTATGTGGCTTCAGCAAGTATCGTTTCAAAGTTTCTTTTATTTGTTTAATTCTTAACCTTTGTACAAATGTATTTAAAAATATGATTGTATTACCGTTCTCCAACAAGAAAACGGAGCACGTATTCGTGAAAGAATTAGCAAGCTTTTCTAAACATGGATTGGATTGGATTATTCAATTATGGCAAATCACACAAGGGCTATCTGCCTAAAGGGAGGGATGCCTTCGTGGAGGACATTCTAAGGGAAACTGACTCGTATACACGTTATACATGGAAAAAACCACGAAAACGCCCATGCAGCCAGCCCGTTCGCGGGATTCGAACCTCGGACCGAACTACCAGTGCTCAGCGTCTTTACCACTCGGCCGTTTTCTAAACATGTAAATGTTTGCTTGATAAAGATGTAAGAATAACAATAATTAGAAAATTTCCAAAAATGGGAGTCACATTTAACAGTTAATATTATTTTAGACTCCCTTGAAGATTATGCAAGAATAAAGATATTTTAAAAGAGGAGACAGATATTCCTCCACTGATTAACCTTTGTGATTGAGAATCACCCTTATCCTTCTTTCATTGTAATACAATTAAGTAGATTTCATAGTTCTTACTATGAATCAGAATTATAAGACACAATAAACTAATAACAATAAATAGAACATAAAATGACACAATAAACTAATAACAATAAATAGAACATAAAATGACACAAAACAGAGAAAAAAAATAAATAAATAAAATAAAAAAATAAAAATAAAAAACTTTAAATTAAGAAACTAACGATTTAACACAAAAAACAAAAGCAACATCAATAGACGTGGTAGCCATGCGAGTAAATTTGAGGAATAGGTTTATCTTTCAGCGATAGACAGTGAAGATGAAAGAAATAACTAAGCACATATAACTCTAAGAGATAATTCAATTCAGACAAAGGTTTCAGCATTTCAGAACATAAATTTGATTTTTATGTAAGTCCAGAATGTAATATCCGATGTAAGTCCACTTCTATGTAAATCTGAAACAGCTCAGTCATATTCTAAACATTATTTCAAGTGTTTAAGAATAATATTAATTTAAAAGTGTTATAAAATTTATGAAAAATGAGAGAAAAATTTGCGACACATTACCAGAACAATTATGATAGAAAGAAATTACAAGTTACGCGGATTTATCTTATGTAATAAAGTGTTCATTTCATGTATTTGGTAATACTGACGTAAGGGATTCTGAACATCATATGCTCCTTCAATAAGTAGGATTATGAAAATTTGATGGGAAAGTTACCTCTATTATATACGATCCAGGTAACAGAATTCTCCAAAATTCTCCTCTTTTAGTAGAATAAAACGTCATGTCCCTACCTCGAATCTTCAGGGCAGCTTTCGGAATGGGGTTATTACTCGAATCTTTCACAAATCCTTTCACGCCTGAGGAAGAGAAGAAAAAATTTACATTTAAACATGTGGTTTTAATGTCCTTTAAATTACACATTCAAGAAGAGTAAACAGCATTTTTGCAACTAACTTCAGAAAAATTAACCTTCAATATTAGACATACCATCATATTTAAGACAGAAATACATTTACCTTTGTGCACTTCCCCTAGGAAGTGAAGCAAGCCCTTCCTGTTTTCCTGCCAATACCGAGGGATTTCGGTGCTTCGCGGGAACTTGCAACAAGATATCTCGAAAGTCACCTCCATCGTGCCGCCCCAGACGTAATTGTAGTCTTGCATGCCACCTGTTCAGAAAAGGTGATTTCAGTAAAAGGAATTTTTAAAAATAATTTATTTCGGAGGAAACTGTTCTTTTCGAATTTTCTTTCAAAGTTCAAGTTTATCAACAATTACAGCTAAATTTTTCTTCTCAACTTTACTAGATTTAGGGTTTGGAAAGACATGACACTTTGAGAATAAAAGAGTTTGAATCGAATTGATACCCGAAAGCTAAGTCCGAATTTAAATCCGAAAACAAAAACTTACTAGCAACCACATTTTTCAGTTTAAGTTGGGAGCAATGTGTCATTATTTGGATTAAATTTTTATATTTTGTTTTGTTAGAAATATTTCTTTATTTTAAAAATATTTCTTTATTTAAAAAATATTCCTTTATTTTGAGAACAAATTAGTACTCAGGCACATTCGCTAAAAACCTAAAACTCTTTTAACCTCACTGACAAATCAAATTTATTTTACTAATTAACTGTAGGTGAAGTAAATATAGAAATAATTATAGATATTCGCTATTACACCTATACTATAACATAAATGTACTAAAAATTCTGAGACAATGGCTACTTGTCATTGGCGCATGTCGAATTGTTAATAAAGCGCATATATAATTTTTCCAGATTTTCAGTTTGTTTCATCGGCTGCCTCATTCGAACTAGTTTGCCTCTAATGAACTGAAATTATTTTACTTAAATATGTTTAAACATCAAATTTACTGCAAATTCTATAAACCAGTTAGATAGGAAACTTAAAATATGAAGGTTTTTTTTTTTTTCAACTTATAGCAACTTTTATTTCACTTAATAATTCGTGATTTAAATTAGCTAAAAACATTCTCAGATATCAAAAACACAACAAAGCTAAAATGCTTTTTCTTACTTCGAAATCTTTCTGAGGCTCAAGTGATGCATCATGAAAAACAAAATGTGTAGAAATAATAATATTTGTCCGTTTGGCAATTAAGGAGAAATTGATGATGTGTGGTTTCATGCTGGCAGTTGAAGCTGAATACCCAAATAAGGGAATGTTGCACAAAACCGATATTGCATAGAATCAAGTGTCTCTCTATCAATACAGTATCGGTAAGGCTGACCAGAAAACAATTTCGACTCTATGCCGATGTCGTTTCTATACAGGAGTGGATCCTATGAAGGTAATTTAAAAGTAAGGAGATAAGTGATAACAATGACGAAAATAACATCGCAGGAGGAATCTGTATAACTTCACGGGTAAAGGCATCTTACAATTATGATAAATCTCGTGGATTTGATATGTACAACTTACATTTCAGATAAGCCCAGAATCAGAAATCCATCGGAGTGAGGTCGGAAAATCGGGATGGCCAAAACATTTCAGAGTTACGAGAGATGACTTTATCTTGAAACAGTGAACATGTTTAAAAATTAACTCCAATGAAAGTTTTTTATCCCTCTCATCTCTTGTGTTGTCATTGGCCTTTTACAATGCTCTTTTTGCAAGTTTTTCACGCCGGCAATTTTCGTCGTATGTTTCAGCGTCATTTGTGCTTTTTTCAATGCGCTTATTAATTTTTGCAGGGAAAAAGTGGATGATGCCAATGAAAAAATTTTAATTTTTTTCATTGTCATCGTAACCGTGAGAGGTCTATTGTTTTAAATCAACACAACCTACAAATAACAATATATGAAATTTCATTTCGATTGGTTGAGTGGATAAGCCTCTGAGGGTTCGTATATCGGAGAAGTTTTTTACGACCATCTTATACTTCAAATGAATTCTAATATGTTTAATTATTCACTAAATAACTTGCTTTAATTTAAATTTAAATTAAAAAAATTATGAAAACTTTCCAATTTGGACAAGAGAATATATATTGACAACTTAGTCTCTTTCTCTTATTTACTGAATTTTTCTACGACATATAAATTATGATACTTATATCTGTATGTAAATAATTAAACATTTTTCACGTAAATACAAAGTCTGTTTGTATAGTGTCCGTGCTGTGAACAAATTTACTAGAAATTATCTTCATCAGATTGTAGATGTTCATAGTAACCTATAGGCTTTTATAAATATTCAGTTGTGAAAAATTGACGTTCACATATAAATGTATTTCAAATTCTGTGTGTAAAAATTCGTAACTGAGTACTCATTTTTGGATAATTACTAATAAATGTTAATCAAATGTGTATCTTCAGATCTTTAAAAAAGAATTACATTATATATGGGATATCAGAACAATTTATAAATTTTAAGGTGTTATTCACGTTTGTTTTTAATGGTAATGAAAATAATGTGAACACGGACTTCAACTAACTAAAATCTCTTTGTAACAATTACTTAAATAAAATACATTCGAGGGCTGCATAAAATTATTTCGGGGGCTTCATGTCCCTCAGTGCATACTACCCAACTGCATACTGAAACTGGTTGTATGCCGCCAGTCTGCTATACAACATGTACCATCTGGTCGATAACACATAATCGAACACGTTTACGCCGTTATAAGAGGTGACAAAAGGTGATTCTAAAAGGTGATCTCAAGAATATAGAAAATGATGGAAGATTTTTAGAGAACTTGCAAATGCCTTTCGATATTAAACGAAAGACTTGAGACAAATTTGGGGAATTTTTCTTCCTCATAATTCAGTGTATGTTAAAAATGTAGATATCTAGAAACACTTTACGATTAATAAAATCAAGGGACAATTTGGAATTAAAAAATACTTTATAGAAATAGGGCTACACTATACATATATCTTTCAAATATGGCTACACTATATAGATTTGCTTGAAAAAATAAATTAATTCTTTTATAGAATTAAAGAAGTTGAAAATTAATTTAAAAACAATCTGAAAATGAATCAAAAGTAAATTAATAGAAAATAAATAACAGACAAAGTGTATTCACATGGCATCATTAGATAGTGTTGAATTCACTTCCAATAATCTCTTTTTATATTATTACATGAAGTATAATATTCATTAGTGTTTAAAATACAGGTACATCACAGTACTCTTTTGTCATTGCTTCGGTATTTATTGGAATATTTATTAATTTATCCTATGTTTACAAGCAAATAAGGCCAATGTTTAAAGTAAACTTTCGGGCACCAGTATCCCACACGCACAAATTAATTCGGAAGATTGTACTTTAGAATAGGCTCAAATGCAAATACTCTCTCTAGTTACGAATTTAATTACGACACCATTAGAAATAATTTTTGTGCGAAGTTCGCTCACGGAGAGAAAGTAGCTCATACTTCATGTAATTAAGACTGCTGCCAAAATTATTCAAAAAACATCTTCCATTGGAGAAGTGGATTTTTTAGAGGCATTTCACATTCATAAAAATCTTTCTGTTCTAGTTAACGATCCTAATTCCAATCCAAATTTGCCTTCGGCCTTTAAAAAAATTATGTTTTAGTTCTGGTTTCACCAACAGATGGCGCCACTTGCTTATTCTTGTCCAGGCTTTCTTATCTTATCTAATCATTATTTCCTATCTCTTTCATTTGCGGTTTTGCAGCTGAAGATGGTGGTTCGGTAAAACCATAGAAACTAGTCCTATGAAAATTTTGTAAATATAATGCTGATTTTTGTTGTTTGACTTCTGAATTAGCTCATACTTCGTTTTCAAATGTTTTTATTCGAAATGGTTTGGCGTTGGGCAAGTGAACTGTCAACATAGGTTCTAAAAAAGTCAGTATCCACCCTTTCTCTCATTCATTATTCTTCATTGGCTCGTAGAAGTACAACAAACCAGCAGCATAACGCAAAAGATTTTATATTTTCATGATAAAACTATGAAATACACCTTAGAAAATATTTTTTTCAAAAGATCATGACAATGTATTCTATTAAAACATTTCCATCTAATATGTTTCTAAAACGTTACCTCCAAAATAATAATTACGTTTCTCACGCATAGGGTAGATATTTCTAATGAAATCTTCCTTGAATGACAGCATAAATAGGAAAACTCAATAAAAGTATCTAAAAAGTTCACTGATAATAGAAAGTGTCTGCCACAGATAAATATCATTACAATCATTCACGTACAAAAGGTTACTTTTAAAGTAATATCAAAATGTTTGAAGAAGGAAAATATTGAGCCCGTCATCAAATTAACTCTGAAAAACTTTTATATTAATTCAAATACTCAAACTATTAACCATATCGCTAACTTACACTCAAACTATTTTTATTTAAAATAAATGCAAAAATTGTATTTATTTCTCAAATTTATAAATTTATTGTTTTCCTAAATATTAGAATCAAAATTCTTTTGTTTGTCCTTTGATAAAGGATCGTGAAATGAAATAAATTGGAAAAACAAAAATAAAACAAATCAGAATACATGTCAAGCATAAAATCGGACTGCAGAGATAAATTAATTTCCGAAAAATCGTTAATGCGGTAACTGAATTATTGAGGACCTGGAACAATGATAACAAATAAAAAGGAAAAATCTACATTCCACGTTCACAAAGAATACATTTTCTTAGTCAGTTTCATTCTCAATTTTTTTTTTTTCCAAATATAAGAAACGGATCTATTCATAATTTGAATTGAGTGTCTTTAAAGATTCTGTCAGGCATTCATTCATCCTGCAGTCTGCTTTTAATCAGCCTGATCTAAAGAAAGGTTTTGCTTTAGAATTAAGTTTGGGAAACAAAATAATTCTATTATTTGTTACTCACCCGTTAAAGGGTACCAAGCAGCACCATTTGTGGTGCCGTTGGGAAAACCGGGGGTACCATCTCTACAGGGAATTCCAAGGTGCATATTTTCGTGATTAAAGGAATAAACGGCAGCCAAGTGTCGGAAAACGTCGTCATCTGGCGTCAAGGAAGGTGAACTAAAAGTCGAAAACACTAAAAGGAAAAATACATAAAACTGAAATAATAACGGTTATCAATAGTGTACATAAAACTAAAATCAGCAATCAAACACGATACATAAATAAAAATCATTCATAATATTTATATAAATCGATAATTTATTAAATTATAGCTTAACCGACACAAACTCCATACACTATGTTACACCACAATTAAACACATTTTGAAGTATTTTATATTAAAATAATATTTTTAGCTCTTTCTTGAAAACTTTAATATTTTCCACGTATTAGGTTATTTTTTGTGTAAGTGTTATACATGTAGCAGATGATTTGATGCAGAAATAATTGTTAGGAAATTATTGTGATATGTAAACAATATTCTAATAATTTCATAACACTACTTATTACTACCTCCTCTCTTAGCAATAATTTTACTAATAACTCTGTTATGAAACCTGCTAATATAATACAGCCCTCACCATTTATAATACACAGAATGAGTCGCAAACACGTAATATAGAAAGCTATCTAAAAATTTCTAGCTAACTAAAAACAGAATAGATCTTTTCCCTAAAATGTACACAGTCCAGTATAACCTCAAAGCTGGGCATTTCACTGATGAAATATAAAAGTAAATATGAGGATTAAATTTATTCCCGCCACATCAAAAATTCGGGTTTATAGCGGTAATGATAGGCCATCTTCATACAAATATATGCTTACATGCATAATGATAAAAAATGATGGAAATGGACAGATACACAAAAATGAGAAATTAAAAATTAAACAATTTTTAAACTTCATTTAATAATTCATTTACCCATTAGATACAAACAACAGGTCTATGACACTTAGACGACAACCATCTAGACGACAGGACATTTAGCTGACATGGACTGTTAGCCCACAGGACATTTAGGCGAAAGGACATATAATCGATACCGACGTACAGCCGGCAGGACATGTAATCAACACTCACATTTAGCCGATGCGCACATTTAAAGCTGATACGGACAGTTAGCCGATAAGGCATTTAAGCGGCAGAACATTCAACCGACAGGACATTCAACCGACACAGACATTCAGCCTACAGGACATTTAGCCGACAGAACACATACGGCAATGTTTTAGTAAAATTTGTACACATTTATCTAAAAAAATGTGACTTCCATCGAGGAAGTTTGTGAATTATAGTTCATAAACTAATTAAATAAAATACTTAATAAATCTTTTATTTTATTTAACGTTAAAGAAACTATGCATTTTAAAATTAAATAGAAAGGCAACCGTATTTTGGCGTAAATTTTGAAATCAATTTCAAGAGTAATCAGCCATGCATCTCTTATTTCGGTTTGGTGTGGTTTATTTGATTATGGATGCTGAAATTTTCTTTTCCACTTACGAAATATAGAGACCTATGTCTCATTGCTTTTGAAACTGATTTCAAAATCAAAGCCAAAATATTTTTTTAGTCTAATTTTAAAATTCATAATTTCTTTAACATAGAATAAGGTCAAAAATATGATACTTATTCATAAACTTCCTCGTAAGGTACCTGGATATAGCCCTTTCTTTCAGATGAATATGAACAAATTTTATTAGAACGTTGTCGCATGATTTTCGGCTATATGTTTGCGCTATCATCTAAACGTGCTGTCGGCCAGTGTCTTGTCGACTAGATGTCCTGTCGGCTAATTGCTGTCGACTAAGTGTCTCGCCAGCTGAGCGTTCACGCCCGAAAATCAATAACTGGGAACATACACGTTAATGTATATTGACCACGAATTCAGTACATTATATTTTGTTCTCAGGATTTCTTTTATTTTCCAAAGCTAGTATTCTATGATATTATTGGAAGGTGGCTTGAGAAATCTGGGACCATATTCCATAACTGTACATTCCATTTCACTATGATTTGAAGGTTAAGTAGTCAGTTGTCAGGTGCCCCTCTTGACCGTTTCCCACAATTTGTCAAATGCATTAAAATCCGTGATTACATATGCCAACTCATCAAAATGAACTCGTCGTTCTATTTTTCCAGCCATCAGTGAACTAACTGTATGTGTTTAGTAGTATGGAGCACTTCTGGAAATTTCCGGTTGCAAATATCCATTTTAACGAAGTAAACTTGTGGAGACATTAGATATTTTTTGAAAAGCAGGAGAGATGAAAAATCAGCAACGCCTTCGCCAAGACTCGAACCATGGGCCTCTTGAATACGCGTCTACCGCCATCCCCCTTTTAAATGGCGTCTGAGGATTAGGGGACTATGACGAATCCTGGGGGGTGGAGAATCATCATCCACCGCCCTTTTAGTTCGGGCGCCACTGTAGAGACATTATGATATTTCGAAGCCGGAGAGATGAAAAATGAGCAACGCCTTAGCCGAGACTCCAACCACGAGCCTCTCGAATACGCGCCGAGCGTGCTGACCACTACACTACGAAGGCATGCTAAGAAGGCGTGAGAAATGCCTTATAAAATATTTAAATGAGTGAGAATAATTAGTTAGATTACAAAATTAAAATATCTTCAGGCCAATACCACAGCCTCCCCAAGATTAAAATGTTGGAACAATGTATTTAGAATAATGCTCTTGGGCTGCCTTTTGCATATTTTTACCCTGCTTAAATCGCACCATATGATCTTTTACTTTCCATCAGTTGTCTAACTCTTGAGGTCACATACAAAGTGGATCAGTTTAATTGTGTTGGTTCTCGCGCAAAACAGTTTTTGCGCAAAGGTTTTCAAATAGATATTCTGCTGCTATTAACGATAAGCTGATGGAAACATACTGCATTCAGCGACCTTCTGATTAGGTCGTTGTCTGTATCTAGATGCAATTCAACTTTTATATATCTATTTAACCCTCTCTTGTCCTGCACTAAACTAGTTTTATCCATTTGCACAGATTTAGTCCCTAAGCTCGAGCCTTCCGCAGCATGGACCATGTAATACAAGTTTCTTACAAGATCCTAACTATGGACTTTGTAACACAAATTTCTTATAAGATCTATGTCTAGCAAGCGACGACGAACACAAACCAAGCGGTTTGTTCTCAAGAACTTCACATGCGCAAACGTTTAGCAAATTATTTTACTGCTTCGAATACCTACAATCATACTTCGTTCAAAATCAGCTAAACTGCGTCTTCATACCCATTGCTTCTACTTATGTTGATCTCTTGCAGTAATAAGATGATATTAGCTAATCTTTATAAAATGGTTCCGTAATTATAATACACTAGCCTCTCAGCATCCTATGTTTTAAATAATTTTACTCCTACGAATACCTACAATCATACTTCGTTCAAAATCAGCTAAACTGCGTCTTCATACCCACTGCTTCTACTTATGTTGATCTCTTGCAGTAATAAGATGATATTAGCTAATCTTTATAAAATGGTTCCGTAATCATAATACACTAGCCTCTCAGCATCCTATGTTTTAAATAATTTCTGTTGTATTTCACCGGTAGAGTAGTGTAGTACATCCAGTTAGCAACTGTAAAACTCGTGGTTCTGCTTCAGGTGACAGCATAGTTAATTTTGCTCGTGTCCTCCGTTAGAATAAAACCCTGAACATTTCTACACTCTGAGTTAAAATTTCATTTTAGAGACTAATAAGTGTAAAATATTCATTGTTTAATATGGAATAAAATTATTTGTAATATATTTGAAATCTGACTCGTAGCTAGATCAGTTCCATCAAAATTTATCAGTTTCAAATCTTTTCTTTTATAGGGAGGGAAGATCAAGTGAAAGCGCAGCATACTTCATTATTCGTCAGTATAATGTGCCTTCAGATGCATTTAAATTTATTTACTATCTTCCCAAATGAGTTGTAATCACTGCTATAGCTAAACTTACTACTGGTAGCTTCGTTGTCGAAAGGATAACTGGCGACAAGAGCGCCGCCGTGAAGATTTCCTGATAACACAAACTGAGTGCTTTCAAGCCAGTCTCTCATAGCTTTTGTTTCAGGTTGCTGTTGTTTATTGTTGCTCTTGAAGAAATCTGGAAAGTTGCGATTCAGGTCAAAACCTCTTGCATTATACCTGGTAAGAATGAAAAGAAAAATGCATATTAAAATACGATATACTTTATGTTTTTAAAATTTAAATTATTTTTAACGTTTCTAAAATTCGATGTTTTTATTTAAAGATGAAAATAGTTGAAAGATTTATCATTTCCCTTATGCTTTCTCTTTCTGTTGTCTTCCATCCCATGAACTGTTTTCTGAACTTTAACTTTATGTCCATCTATTTTGTGTATTCCAAAGAGTTTGAAATATCTATCTAACTACAAATAAATCTCTCAAATCCTCCATTTCATACTGGCACCCAGAACTAAATTCATTAGTATAGTAATATATTACTGAATGATTTTAATGTAACCCTTACGGCAAACTAAGATGATACCAATGTGCAATAAAGATAATTATCAGTTTAAACTTATCTCTTCATGCCTATAATTTGTTTCTGAACTTATATCATAAAATTATAAATTGCAGTGTCTTTTCATCTAATTCTGCAAATGATATTAAAAAAATTCAAAATTCGAAAAGTACGTTCATTTAAATTATTAATTAATAATTTAACAGCATCTTTTATTTTCTTATTAAAATCAAATTAACGTCAAAGCATATCACCATTCTTATTGCATTTTACTATTTCTAGCAATGCATGATAATCTAGGAGTGTTTGGGAGTACACTGTCTTTAAATAAATAAATAGACCTTTGCTAGTAAATATTTGGCATTATGAATTTTCTGTTCCGTAACAATTTTACATTCATTATCTTACACAGGAAAAACTAAATGATGATGCTTCATTTGTATACTTGCATCAGTTGAGCAACAAATTCTAGTTAGTTGATGTATTCAAAAGTAAAACTTTTAATTTTTATCCCGTAGTTTTAATGCATTTTGTTGGTAAAAAGATTGATTTAAATCTCTAGAAACACATATCTAAATGTTGAATATACAGTGGCTGTTCGCCCACTTTTCAGACGACCTACTTTGCTATAAAAAATCGCCTGCATGGAAATTTTATTTTAACTGCAGCTATATTTATGAAAGTGTACATTATTGTCTGCTATTTGACAATTTTTTTTCACACAAAATGGCATTTTTAAAGAAATAATAGACGGAAGGCGATGTTTATGCTCTTTCCGAAGAAAATTACTCGTATTTCGTTACGAAAATTGCTGTAAAAGCCATGATTTTCCAGTAAGACAGTTGCATAATTATTAGAATGCCATTAATCAGTTAATCAGTTGTAAACAACTGATTAATGCTGATTTAAATCTTAAAAAGGCAAAAAAAATGTAATGTGCCTAGTCTTTCTCCACTGCATATCGCCAAAAGCAGAACACGCTGCAGAACTCTCTATGAGAAATAATTATTTGGACAAAAATGCAAAAATGTTATTACAATAGATGATTTTTAGGTAAATTCGAATGACCGCAATAACCGAAATCCGTTTATTATTTTTAGTGAGGAGGAAAAAATCTTAAAACATGGTTCAAAGAATCTAAAGAAAGTTTTTTAAAGGGATTTATGATTATTGTTGGTTTTCGATATAACAAAAACTAAAATTTAAAGAGATTGCAGAAATCTGCTAGGGTCAATTTAACATATTATCAGAAACATATTTTATAATCAATTTTCAAATAGGAAATACTTCGTCTTCACCCATATTGCCCTCAATCAGTAAAAATTCGTCAAGAAAAAGCAAGCAGCTGTTGTGTAGAGAATTTGTCTGATCGCGTTATAAAAACTAGGTGAATGATTTTCTGATTTATGGAAATCTTAATTTTATTTGATTCTGAATTATTTATTTTAATGCTTTAATTTTGGAGAAAAATAGATGCTTCTGGGAATATTATTTAGTTTAAAAGAATATTATTTATTTTTCTTTTATTTGCAATTTTTGTACAAGCTATGATTCATTGTGAAAAGAAGCAGGGAAAGGGAGGCAATTTGCTAAGTCATGATTTCGCGCGCTTTGTCCTTTAGAATGTTCTAGAAAAAATTTCATTGTGCAGTTGACCTTAGGACAGGAAGTACGTGACAGAAGGGTCAGAGGTTGTCACTTAACCTCCGTGGAAGTCATTCAGGTTTTGGCGATCGGAAGGTCCGGTTGTTGGCTAATTGAAGAGGGGCGCGCATGCGCGTTCACCCTTATTTCCTCATTCAGGGGTTGAAACACAAAATTTGCCCAAATTAAGGGGCCGATAATTGAAGCCATAGTGGGAGCCCGCGTTTGTGAAAGAGAGGAAGAAAATTCGAGTTTGAATCACTTTTTCGTGCGAGACTTACTGTGTGGATGATACTTTTGAAACTTGCTCTTGGGTTGAGCAATAGAAACCATGTAATTTACGAAGAGAGGTGTTTCCCGGCGGGGAGCGAAATATATGCTCCCCGGCCGAGTTTGGCTAAGAGGCGAAATTGATAAGTGTACGAGTTCTGCTGAGAGATTTAAAGACTTTTGGACGTTACTTTTTGCCCGACTTTGGACTAGTTTTGTTGAAGGATTTAAGACTTTCAGGATTAAGACTTTTTGCCGGACTTCCAAGGCTGAAGGATTTGTTAAGTTTCTGTGGATGAATATGTGGTGAGTCAGGCGGATCACGGCGGACACTATCCGGCCGTCGCCTTGCTGTCGAAAAAAAAAAGATCCAGCGAGTATGAAGTTTTTTTTTTCTCTCCAGCGAGTATTAATTTCCAAAATTATTGGCCATGTTCCAACCCGGGCAACGTGAGATTTGATACTCGACATCCTGACTGCGAGCTTGAAGATTCTGCTCGGGTGATGTTTCTAGGGCTTGTTTTCTGCGATGCTGAGCGAGCGGATTGTGTTGCTGAAAAATCCTGGAGTCGGTGTTATCCGGAATTGCGGCCAGTGACACCGAAAAGCGTGAGACTCCTTAGACGCCCGTTTTCCCCTTACGGAACGAAATTTTTCAGGAATTATGGTGGACTTATAATCCCTTGAATTTTCCCAGAATGCAAGGCCAGCCCAACACCAAGTCGTCAAAACCTCAGATAAGTGCTTTGTTATCATTTTCCTTAGAACTTTTGGAAATTGGAACTTTACCTTAAATTGACTCCTAACAGCTTAAATTAAGTCTACAGAAACTGAATTGCTTCCTTTTTCCCCTTCTTAATTGACCGAGGCAACTTTAAGGTCTTCATATGAATTAGTATGTAATAGTGTAATTTGTTTGTATAATCTTCCTTAGAACAGATGTTAAATTTCAGACGATATGTTTTTTTAACCTCTTAGAAATTACAGAACGAGTATCCGTTAAATTAAAAGGGTCGTGTAATAGATTTGCAAATCATGAATTTAAATGTAACTGAAAAAAAATGACAAATTGAAGAATTCACCTGTGTCTAAAATAAGTAAATTGAAACTGTAACAAAAATAAGAAGTTTGACTCTCTGATTAGGATAAGATTAATTTTTAATTGTGAGGAATTTGAATAAACTGGTATTTAATCTGGAAACCTATTACTTATGTTTTCTTTATATCCTTTATGTGTTTTTTCTTATATATATATATTGATTTATCATTGTGTATCAGATCCTCTCATGGCACGCAACTCAACAATGGTGCCGTGACCTCTGCTTAGTGGGGGATCGGATCGAGAATTGAATTTTGAATTACCTATTTTTTAATGTGTAACTGATTGTTTTAGTGAAGGTATTAAAGTCTATGTGCTAGGATTAATTAGAGTTTTTGATTTGTGTTTGCTTATTTGTTAATACGAGAGTGATAAAGTTTTTGAAAATGTGTGTGAAAATTTCAGGAAATTTTGGACTTTAACTGTTTGTTAGGCAAACAGAATTGAACTTTAAAATTAGGAAAAAATATATATTTTTTTAATGTAGCAGAATAGGTACTGTACATTTTTACTGTTGGGAAATCCTTGAGTGTTTTCTGGATGTATATTTTTGATTTTCAATGTACTGATTTATGATACAAGATGGAAAATGAATTATTTCACGATAATCCTATGCTATTAACTGTATCCTTGTATCAAAGTTTCGGAGGCTTGTCGGTAAAAACTGGACTCATTTTATGAGCACTTCTAAGAGAAAGAGACTTAAACACTAATTATTTTACTTAATTTTACTGAATGAGACAAGCCATAGCTATGCGTAGCTAGAAATTTTTTTTGTGTGGTTTTGCTACTTATTTAACCTAGAATCTTGTGAAATGTGCAATTGTGAGAGGTAGCGTTACAGAAATTTTGATTTTTTTGTAATTGATTGAATAATATTTTGTGAAATGTGTGTGATGTTTTCATGATTAACTAGCTTACCAAGTATATTATTTCTTTTTGATTTACAATGTTTTGATATGATTCCAGTATATTGTGTAATGTGTTAGAAAATTTCATTTGGTAGTGAGCAATGAATTTTATAAGTTCTTAAGGCATAATGATACAAATGAATGAGTTAAAAAATTGTAGATTGTTTTTTTTTTTTCAATTGCAAAATTCTGTTTTAAAATTAACATGGGTTAGATTTGAATTTTTGCCTGAGATCAGTAATAGTGATGTTTGGTTATTTAATTTTTTTTGGATTGAATTCTTCAGCTTGAGTGAAGTTCTGATTAGTTTAATGAGTAATTGAGATTAGTTATCTTCTGAGTTTTAAGTTGGTGAATAGTTGTCAAGTGAGAATTGTTTAAACAGTAGAGATTGAGTTTAGTCTTGGGAATTGTAGAAAGTGAATTTCAATTGACTCTTAAATTAAGTCTACAGAAACTGAATTGCTTCCTTTTTCCCCTTCTTAATTGACCGAGGCAAACTTTAAAGTCCTCATATGAATTAGTATGTAATAGTGTAATTTGTTTGTATAATCTTCCTTAGAACAGATGTAATTGAGTGATCAATGATCAATGAGATCAATTGATCAATGAGAATTTTGTGACAACGGGAATTTGTTTTGTGAAAATTTTCGAAATAAGTTTGAGAAGATTAATTACTTTTGCTCTGTGCTCATGAGTGGGAATTTTCTGTTTATTACAAGTAATTTGTCTTGAAT